CCCACTTGCACGTTATTTCAGGAGGCAGAGTAAAAGGGAAGGTATGCTCCTGTGCATCTCTTCAGAGCTTCATACTCCTGTTCATTTCACTTCAGATCTTCAGTTTATACAGTCTTTGTGTACGTCCTTCATCTTCATACTTCCGTTCATTTCATTTCTGATCATCATATTGTCCATACTCTTAATGATGCTCATCCGTATGTATTTGTTAGTAGTACAAGGGGAGTGGAGGGGAGGGTGGAGGGTAAGGGGTAGAAGGCGAAGTTCTCTAGGAGTATGGGGCAGGGGAGGTAGGGGCAACGGGAGGGCAGGATAGAGTATGACATGCAAAGAGCAGGGGAAAGGTGTATGCGGGTTTCACAGATTTCTAAATATTCACCGCTGAAGCAGACTCCTAAAAAAAAAAAACAAAAAAAACTATGGCGAGTGGCCACCCCTACAGACCGGACAGGACCGGTTCGGGTGTGGGGGATATGGAAGCACCGCACCCAATTTTCGCAGTCACAGTTGCTGCATTGAATGGCACGGCGCAGACAGATGTCACAGGCTACGTGGCTCGTACATGCTAGGAACACAGAGGCACGTCGACCACAATTATAGAGACATTGCCGTTCCAGCCCCTGTCTACAAATTGGACATGACATGTCAGGGTGCCGTACATGAGTACAGTACTGACTGTCATCGTACATATGGAAGCAAAAACTCGCATGGACTACCTTCATAATCCACACGGCACAAGGCATGTGAACCACATCCTAGTTGAATCTCTGGCGGGTCATCACAAACGGCATGGAGCATCTTTCTTGGGCTTCCTTAGTATGTATTCCTTCTCTATGGGCAAACGACGACAGGGAGGATCAGTCCAACGCAAGGGCATTCTGCTGCTGCAGGATATGATCCGCAACAGCTTGCCCTGGTGGTGATAAACTATGAGCACATCACTCTGCCGGTGGTTCGTATGGAAGTCTATTTTCCTCCTCGGACCGCTGTGTTCGTCGTTCGTCTGGCATGAAAGAGGGAGATCCGTCTGTGGTTGCCATAGGTGTATGACCAATACCGCATGTGGGACATGCTAGGAGAGGATGTGGAGGGTGATGGCACCGGGGATAGTCCACGCAGTAAAGACACATACTTTCTATGACAGCTTCCTGGTAGCATTGACGACACATGGCATGTTGCTGACATGTCATTAGTATGGAAGGCTGACGCGCACAAAATTTAAGCATGGCAGATCAAGGCCACAACGACATGCTGGGCAAGTAAACAGGGGGTGGGGGGGATGAGCACAGGACTGGGGATCACAATTTTCGTGTGAGAGGCTAGCAGCGACCATCCCTTCATAGTGTTCAGAGTAGAGGCTATGTCGTGTACATGCCAACCGAACTGTACCTGAGGGCACAACCATCATCCTGTGGAGAGGTCCTTTCACTGTTTGTGGTAGAATCAGCAGGATTGCTCTCCGGGGGGTGCAGTGCTTGCAAATGCTCATCGACATACTGTTCCTGATGGATGATCCAGACTGAGTGACCCTCCAGCATTCGCTGATGGAAAAAGTTAATATTTCCCACAGTGTGCACCCTACCGCCATTGTCCCATGGGGCCCATGAATTATCTGCAAAGGTAAGAGCACTGAAGTGACCTGGACGATATAAGATATGTGCCCGAATATTCGGATCCGTGCCTGGATCGTGGTTTTGCGGAGCAGGCTGGAATTGCAGTCGCCTACCCATAAATGCCATAGCCAAGACTGTTACGCTCACCCCAGGCGGAGCGCTGTCGTCGTCTGGGCATACGACACGGTGCTCTTCTTCTATCCAGTGAACAACGTCTGCAAAATCAGCAACAGTATAAGGATTACAATTGTAAGCAAGGAGACATACATTAACGGCATAGTACGCACAGCGCCCTCCCTGTAGCGCTATGGCATTGTCTGATTCCACAGGTTGTGTAGGGGATCCGTTTACGGGAGGGGGATCCTCGTTCGATTCTGCAGGTTGCCCAGGTGGCGGAGACTCGTTGTGGTGTTGACCAATTGGCTCCGGTATGTCCTCCGGAGAGAGAGGACATACCGGGGGCTCCGTCAGGTAATCAGGAGACGGGCCATTGCCATTTGGGGCAAGGGAGCGAGTGGGGCTAGGTGGATGAGAGAGGGGCGGGTCAGGTGGGTGAGAACTGGGTGGACCAGATGTGGGAATCGGAAGCTGATCAGCCTCACTTGTGCTTAGGGCGGCTGCTAGTCGTGCAAACGCAGCACAAGTAGCTGCACCTCGTGTCTGTTGCACTCGTAAGCCTGCAGCACTGAAGAAATCATCGCCACATTGCGGGCATCGGACTCGATGTGCACTATTCCTCGCAATTGTACACTGAAAGCAACGATGTCGTGTGTGTGTGGTTGGGTGTGTGCGGGTGTGTGTGTGCGTGTGTGTGCATGCACATGTGTGTGTGTGTGTGTGTGTGTGTGTGTGTGTGTGTGTGTGTGTGTGT